TAGCCATCAGTTCCCCCAGATTGTTCCCTATGCTTTCTGCAATCTTCTGTGATCTCATCCCTAATGGTAGAACATAAACCCTTATCCAAAAGGGGATAAAGTTGAATCTTTATTCATTAGGTCGTAAACTCCCATCATATTTTGACATTACTATGAGTTGTTTATCAAAAGTCCATTGCGATCCTTCGATTACTCTTTTTTTGTCGCTCATTTTATCAAATTTGAACAGAAAGATATTCTCCTCTAAGCTTACTATTTCAACCGTTTTTGATAACTTCCACAAGATTTTAAATATGCTGATCATCGCATCTTTATTGAAAGGCCTTACCTTATGAATCTTACCTACCATCCACTTGTGTTCTTCCCCCGTTTCTACTATGTTTACCTTATAACATACCTCCACCCCTGCCTTCTTTTCCTCTGTGAATGAAAGGTTCTGCCACAGTTGATCCAAATCTTCCTCCACGGCTCATCCAATACCACCTCAGTCCCTACTGTGGCCGAAAAAACAAAATAGAAAAACTCTTACTGCACTAAATGACCCTTAAAGACCAAAGCTCACCGCCTATCCTAAGGGAGAAAACTCTTGTATAAGACAAGACTATGACTCCTCCCACAGAACCTAGTTCGTGAGGAGACTCTTTGATTAACTGTTAATCTTCAACATTAAAAATACATTAATTTAACTATTGAGATATAATATAAAGATATTAATAATTTATTTAATCATATAATTAAAATATTAAAATATTTTGAATTATTTTATATATCATAAAATAAGAATTTTCTCTGTTACAATTATAATTTACTTTATTTTATAATGAATTATGCAAAAAAAAAAAAAATTACGATCATGATGGACACAACACTTGTTATCTTATTTATTATGTCTACAACCGCGATAAACACAACATTAATTGATAATCACGATTTAAACTTTTGATGTAAAGTGATCAAATAAGATTTCATTATATCTCATAAGCTATTTTGATTAGCTTTTTTGAATATAGTAACTAGTAAGGGCAAAATATCCATAAAGGGAAGTGTTATAAGATATTTGTAACACGCACTAAAGTCATTATCTCTCATGTTATAACTTTCATTTAGACTTATCATTAACGTCACCTCCATATTTATCTATCAATTTTAAGCATACTTAACGGTTTTTCTTAAATTGGAAAGCCAAGGTAAGTTTGAGATAAGTGCCTATTGTGCTCCGAACTTACGAACAATTTAGTCTTCATTTGATAATCATGAAATTCATTTCTAGAAATCATTTTTTTGCGTTTTTCTATGTTCGGAAAGATGAATTATCATGGTCAACAGAAATATTTTTTGGTCAACAAAAAACAAAAGTATTACACGTAGAAATTGTCTTTTTTTTTTTTCTTCAAGCGAAAGACAATTTACCGTGAACTCTCCTAACAAACCCAGAACTCTCTCAAAAATTTTTATCTCTTTCTCCACAGCAGCCACGATTGGGTATGAAGGAAAATTCTTCATTTTCTTTCTTTCATTTTCTTTTTTTTTTTTTGTTCTACCCACTTCCTTGTTTTTGCAGCATCTCCGTTTTTGCTCAATGGGTAAGGATTTCTTGCTCGAACTCTAGCTTTTGTTTAAGTTACAATAACTCATTTTTGCTTCATTCTTTTCAAAAAACCCACAAGTAGCTTCAATTTTTTATTTCTTCTCTCGGAATCCTTCAATATTTCTTTAAATCTATATATATATATATATATGTATATATATATCCATTATGAAACCCATAGATATCCCATAATCCTTCATCTTTTTGTTTTGTTTTTAATCGTTCTCATTCTCAAATAATTTTTGTACAAAAACGCAAAAATGACAACCTTGATGAAACATCTCCAATAAAGACTTACACACCATGAAAAGATCTTTCAATTTAAAGATTTTGAATTGGTTTTTATCAATTTGAAAAGGCTATCATGAATTATTGTGCATTTTTATGGGTTTTCATTTGAATTTTAATGAATATGGATTTGTTAAGTTTTCAGTTGATGAACTTACATGGGTATTTGATGGATTTATTATTGTTAAAATCATGAAAATTGATATTAAAATATGAAATATGCATTAAAAATGTTAAAATCATAAAAAGACTTTGCTGAAAGTTGGTGGAAAATATTTTTGGTGATGTCATCCAAACATATAAATCTATTTTTTATAAAATTTTTTAAACAACAAAAAATATTTGATAATTTATGTTATTATATCATTTAAAATATTATATTTATATCATATTTTATATGAAAATCATGTGTCATAATTTATATTGATATGAAAATATAAAATATAATATTTTGATTTTATTTAACTTATTTATGATTTTTTAAAAATTTTAAGTCGTATTATTTTCATATTTTTTATTGATATCGTTTTTATATCGTATCAATATTTAATGTTTCAAATTGCTAGGTCTAAAAAAGGAATTTTTATTAAAAATATTTTACTTTCAAAAGTTATTTTCTAGTTATCCAACGGAGCCCTAAATGAAATAACCTTTGAGAGGACAAAAAAGGATCATACAAAAAAGAAAAAAAAATTCGATTCTCTCGGAGGAAGATGACTTTACTGGCTTTACCGGAAAAAAAAAAGTGTTTTATACTTCTTAAATTATATGCATGATTGTATGATATCGATAAATAAGTTGGTACATATGCATTATACATGTGGTAACAATTATGTATTGATTAAGATTGATTTTCTTAAAACTATTTTGTCTTCGTTACGTTTATACTTCCACATTCATGGGAAAAGATTTCAAAGAGTCCTTCTATATTATAAAATGAAGAGAAACTCTTGAAAGGTATTTGTGAAATCTCCAAATAAAAAAAATCGTAACACAGAGAAATAACAAAGACAATCATTGCCAAATGTTAATGAGATGGAATTTTTTGTTATGGTCGTTATCTTTGGTTAAGGGACCACCGAGTTCGTTAGCGGCGTCGACTCAATCTTTTATTGAGCCCATGTGGATTGTTAAGATGTACGTCCATACCCGAGCGAGAATCGGGTCGTTGCTGGCGATAGGAGGAAGGGAAAGATTGGTTCTGTCCGAGTCGAAAAGCGAAAAAAGCCAAGGCATGTCGCCAATGGAAAATTCCAGAAGATTCGAAACATTGTGGAATCGGCGGTGGTCGTGATGGAGAAGAGTTGGCTGAGTGGACTACTGTGACGGCACTACCGAGTGAGGAAGAGGACACGCTCACGGGTTTTAGTGATGTCGTATAAGATACGGCGGCCGGGAAGGTCGTAGACGGTTGAGTTGGCTGTGGAGGAGAGACAGATTAAGGAGCGAAGCATCTGGGAGAGACGGTCGACTTGTTTGCGAGGTGGGCGCATTCGTATTTGGAAGACTCGGCTTCTAGAGAGGATTATGACTTGGTCGTCTAAGATGATTGGGAGAGAGAATTCTTGTTGGAGTGTCTTTTCAGCCTCTGGAGCTGCTGTTGTCGCGGCGGCGGGGGCACCCATGTAATGATTATTTTTTATTGTTTTCGAATTGTTTGGGGTGAGTTCGAAAGAGGAGTGAAAAAATATGTCAGGAGGAGGAATAAAGAAAGGGGAAGCAACAACAAAGGAAACCTACTAATCTATACTGGAAACTGAAAGTGAATCTAAATTTTAGAACCCGTTTGTTTTGCGAAAAAAATAATTTTTAAAAAATAGTTGGCATATTTTTAAATATTTATTTTGATAAAAAATTGGTTGATCAACAAAAAAATATTTATTAATTAATAAAAATAAAATTATTTTTTGAAAGTTCTTATGAATTTAAAAAATTATCTGTAAGTATAATTATTTATAAATATTTATAAACATAATTTTATTTATAAATAATATACTATTAATATAATAAATTAATAATTAATAAATTAATAAATAATATAAAAAAGAATAAATAGTTTTATTTTAAGTATTTTTATATTAACATAATATTTTAATATTAAATATTATTATAAAAATATAATTATTTTTTAATACTAATAATTTTAATAATAAATAAATTTTGATATTTTAATGTTTATATTAATATTATTTAAAAAAATTTAAAAATAATCAAACAACAAAAAATATTTTTCATTAATTCATTTAAATAACAAAATTTTCTTTTAATTTAAAAAATATAAATATTTTTTAAAAATCATTTTTCGAAAATATTTTTTACGAATGAAACAAGATCTAGACAAAAAATTTGGTGGCGTGCTGTATCTGCACGGGTTAGGTCAGAGAATGAAAATGGAAGGTTGGCTTCGGGTTTCTTTAATCCTTGATTAGTATTTTGTTTTTTCTGGAATCATATTTGGCTTTTTATTTTTGAAGATTTTTTTTATACACTTGAGAACAGGACTGGAGAAGATTTGGAAAATTTGGTGATTGCTTTGGCTTTTTTAATTTAATTTTAATCGGGGTTGACCGTTGAATCCAAAAAAAAAAAAAATCAAGAGTCAAGCAGATAAGATTTGATACCACTTCTTATTCCACTTGTCACATCTCATATTTCCAACCAAAAAGAAAATATATATATATATATATCTATCATATCAAGAAAGACACATGAATCCTGACTAGTGATGATAACGGATTAGATCGAAAAAATTTTTGTTCGTTTTGAATTTGATTCGATTTTAAATATGTAATATCTGAATTCATATTTGATTCAAAAATTTTTTTTTTTTAATATACGAATCCGACCCGACAATATATAAAATTAAATTTCATCCGACTCGAAATTAATAAAATATTATTTTAAATATAAATATAAAATTAAATATATATAAAAAAATATATAATTAAATATAAAATTAAAAAAATAATTTTTTTATACATATCTAATCGAGTAGATCGAGTTTACCTAAAATTCGATCCCGATCCAAATCCAAAAATTTTTTATCTTATTCGATTTGATACTCGATTTTAAAAAAAAATCGACCTTAAAAAATCGAATCAAATTAAAACCCGACCTTAAAAAATCGAATCAAATTAAAACCCGACGGATTCGGATACCTTCCTTAATCCTGACTTGAGAATACAATACATGTCACTTGAGGCTTGGCTGTCCTGTCAGAAGGTTCTCCCTCTCGTAGAATGGGCCTTGGAGGTCAAGTAATGCACCTTTCCAACAGTAAACGTTAATTTGTGACCCAAACCGATGGTTTCTAATTTCAAAGGCCGGCATCAATGCAGAGGGGAAAATGGGAATACAAAAATGAAAACCCCAGTCCACCAATCCCAACTCCAAAGTCCACACCTCAGACAAACGCTTATATACGAGAAAGACAGGAGTCCAGATATCCACGTCTTACTACAAAGGTCAATGTTTTGGTGGAAGCATGCAAAACCACATTTAAAATAGAAAAACAAACATAACAATTTTTTGTTAATGAGATTTTAAAATTAGAAACAAGGAGAGAGAGAGAGAGAGAGAGAGAGTAATAATATTTAAATATGCTTTTCAAAATTCTGGATAACCATTTGCATCCACGCAACACAAAATTCTTGATACTAAAGTGAGGAGTTGCACACAACCAAATTCACCCTTCCATGGGCTGATTCTCTTCTGTCCGAGTTTGGGAGACATTGACTTTAATTTTTGGAAGGTAAAGTGATGAGTCTTGTGCAAGAGCAAGCGGAGCTTTCACCAAGTGGATGTCCTGCTCCAACTGCTTTCTTGCTTCTTTCTGCCTTTGGATTTTGCCTGTCTTAAGTCTGCCAAAAGATTCAAATATGGGTGGGCAATTTAGCAAACAGCATCTTCAGTATTTTTTAACATGTAATGAAAGCAAACCAACCTGTTTTTGATGTGGTCGGATGCCCTGTCTGATCTGATTTTATCAATCTTTTTAATTGCCTTAAGAGTATTCTCTGCAATGTTCCTATCATATCTCTCTGGCCTATTACGCTTTCTTTCAAACTCAAATGTTGAATCCTAGGAAAAAAGAAAACAAACAGATAACATACAGTTGTTCGGTTTACACATTGTAGTAATGCAACAAGAACTATGATAAAACTAGATAAGCCAAGTGAAACCTCTTTACCTGTGTCATGTCCTTTCCAAGTAAACGCCTATAGGCTTTGGTCCATTTTACTTTACGAGGATTCCTCTTCATCTTGAAGTTCTTGTGGCATTTGGATCTACAGAATCGGAAAATCTGCAAAAAGTAGGCCGATCAGAAACCAGACACACTCCAAACAGCAAGAACAGCATGAAGAAGGGAAAATAGTACTATTAATAATTAATTGATGCCTTTAATCTGCCATGATGTTAACACTGATAAATTTTGTTAAAAGCTGCAGATATCTCAACAGCGCCAGGCATATACATATAGTAGCACATATCAAAACCATGGCTACTGACATATAGCACTTGCTGATACAAGTGTAACAAAAACTGGAAAGAAGGCAATATGTCCCAATCAACAAACCAATCAAAGGTTGACTTTATAGCATAAACTAAAGTCATGTTTGGTGCATACAATGATTGACAGTAAAGGATGATAATCATCCTATACAATGTTGGATTTATATCTAAAGAAATGGGTAGGATTGCAAGGAGCATTAATCATCCTCTTGGCATAGGATTATTCAATCCTCCTAAAGTGAAAAGGATTATTTTTAATTCATGAGATTGAACTTACATGTCTTATTATACCTTTAAAAATTATATCAAAAAGTTAAATAGAATAAACTTTGAAGAAGTATAATTTTGAACAATAAATAAAATTATCTTATTCTAATCCTTGCATACATCAAACACAAGATAAGATGACATTATTTAATTTAATCATATATATAATATCATCTTATCCTATTTTATTATAATTTTGTGCACTAAACGCACCCTAAATGTGTAGCATTATGAGCCAATATAGGTAAAACTGAATAGCACACAAACAAACAAAGATTAAAGAGCATATAAAGCAATATTACCTTTGAATAGAAATTAAATTGAATTGTAAAGGAGAGATAGAAACTCTTACGTTGGCATCATTGCGAACAAATTCAATGCCGTGCCCTGGATATATGGTGGAGGAACAAAACCAGCACTTTTCTAATCTCATCTTATTCCCAAATCAATTGACAAACACAATTTTCTGAACAATTGCAACATTTAAAATCATGTCATAAAGAGACTAAATACCAATAGCTAAACAGTATCTTAACCTAAAAAGCTTAAATTCTTAGGTTGACAATAGCATGGAAAGAGAATAAAGTATACCCAGATGACACTTCTTTTATTCAATTTTTCAATTCTCAACCTTATCCAGTATGGCTTATCATCGCAGATGAGCGACAGAAAATTCCCAAGCAAGAAATTCGAGCTATTTACTTATGATATTATCCAAGTGAATCCAAATTATGATGAATAAATTAATTAGAAAACGTAAATTCGATTCTAAACGTACCCCCAACCCATCCCTACAGTACACTAAACCCTTAAAGGAAAAGAGAGAAGTAAGTCTGACCATTATATCGCGCGGCTATCGACGTTTTGATCAGAGAAGAAGAGAAAGATGAAGAATTGTGGGAAGTCTGGCGGCGGTGAGGGTTTAAGAGAAGTTCGTAAAGACTAAAATAACCTATAAATAGTACAACAGTTTAGGGCAAAATATTTGGGCTGGACATTGTAGATCTTTAAGCCTATTGTTATGGACCATTTAATAAGATTAAAGTTTTTTTATCCAAAGCCCAAAGTTGGAGGTTATATTTAAGCCTATACTTCACAAAACTATTCGCAAGATAACAAAAATTACCTTTTGATAACCTATTACTAGTACTAGTACTATATTTTAAAAGAATTTTAAAATAATAATAATAATAATAATAATAATAATAATAATAATAATATTATTATTATTATTATTATTATTATTAAAGTTGTCTTAGTATTTGATTCTAATTATCAAAGTTTCATTTATTAAGAAGCTAAAATAATATTAGATATTTATTTATTTGATGAAAATAATTGAAAGGAACCAAAACCAATTGGAGACTTTTTTGAAAGTTACATGTTAATAATTTTTTTTTAATTTTTATTATTCTTCTTTTTGTTATAGGATAAAAATAAAATCAAAATAACCTTAAAAAAAAGTTCATTCTTTTACAATTATAATTCAAACATCTTTGCACAAACACTTAAAAGTAAGACTTCCCTTTTAGCAGATGGTTTAGATGAAATTCTACATCAATGATGCTAATTGCTAAAATTATTTGGAATATGAGCATCGGTAGGAATCTTTATTGCATGCCCAAATCAAATATATAAGACCTATTTATAGTTTTACCAGTAGACCATTCTAAATAGACTTGGTTACTACATTTTCTTTAATATCATTTTCTTTAGTATCTAATTCACAGGCATTAGGTGGGACATCTACAATTAGAGAGCAATTAAAGAATCCATGCAGCTACAATAACACAACAATTAACACCTGTTCAGCAATCTGTCACTCAAAAATTTTATAGTAACAATAAAACTAAGCTTAAATGATCACCAAAATCTCAGAGTAATTTTAATTAAGTTCAAACAATAAAAAGGGATTAAATTTTATTGGTGAAACTAGAAAATCGATAAGACTTTAGCTCTAAAATAGTATGTTTTCAAGGTGACAACAATATTTCCCTTATTATTAAAAAGGAAGGAAGCTTATCTAAAACCCTTATAAACTAAAAAAGCTAGTGGTCATAATCATGAAAAAACGATGAGATTCCTAAAGCAATTTTAATAAAAGATTGAAGCCTCAAATCAACCAAATGGTTACCATCAGCACAAAACCAATGTGCTCTACATTGGTATAACAGGCCAATCTTCCAATAGAGAGACATGGGTCATTTCAAAAACATACATGTAGTAGAAGTCAAAATGGTCAATCAAAGTAAAAGAGATAGTGGAAAATATATTTTCATTTGTTAGAAAATTTTAAAAAGCAATAGAGTGATTTTAGGGTTTTGGGTGTTGGGTTAGCAAGTTTGGTGGTTTTAGGGATTCGAAAGATGATTTTATGATGGATGTTTTTTAAGGGTTTTAGGTGATGGGTTACTAGATTTTGTGTTTTTAGGGTTTAAGTTGGATGTTTTGTCGGTGAAACAATTTTAGGGTTTCTGGTAAGGGGTTAATAAGTTTGGTCTTTTTAAGGTTTCGAGTGACGATTTTGTGGTAAAGTAGTTTCAAGATTTCAAGTGAGAGATTAGCAGGTTTGGTATTTTTAAGACTTCGGGTGTTAATTTTAAAATGCATAAGTTTTAGGGTTTTATGTGTAAGTTAGCTAGTTTAGTGATTTTAGGATTTCAAGTTATGATTTTAGGTGCAATGGTTTTACGATTTTGATTGTGAGGTTAAAGGGTTTAGTGTTTTTTGTGTTTTATGGATTGAGGGTGATGATTTTATAGTGAAATTGTTTTAGGGTTTTGGGTGGGGGTTAGTGGGTTTGGTGCTTTTAGGGTTTCAAGTGGTGGATTTATTACAGATAGTTTTAGGTTTCAGGTGTCGCACTTGCAAGTTTGTTGGTTTTATGGTTTTTGGAGTCGATTTCTAGGTAAAACGATTTTAGGGTGAAGGGTGGAAGGTTAACGAGTATGATATCCTTAGGGTTTCGAGTGACGATTTTTGTATGGACAATTTTATGGTTTCAAGTGGTAGGTTTACGAGTTTGATATTTTTAGGGTTTCAAGTGGCTTTTTTAAATAGTGATTTTATGTTTTAGGGTGTAGGGTAAGAGGTTTAGGGTATAGGGTAGTTGGTTAGCTAGTTTGGTATTTTTAGGGTTTCAAATGTCAATTTTAGGGTGGATCAGCTTTAGAGTTTTTGGTGGGAAGTTAATAGGTTTGTTTTTAAGGTTTTGAGTGTTGGGTTAGCTGGTTTAATGGTTCTAGGGTTTTGAGTGATGATTTTAGGATGGAGCAATCTTAGATTTTAGGTGAAAGGTTACCTACTTAGGTGTTTTTAGGGTTTCAATTAGTGATTTTAGGGTGGAATGGGTTTTCAGAGCTTTTAGTGGTTTCTAAGGTTTTAATCATTTTAAGGCTTTGAAAGTAGTTTTTGGTGGTTTTTGAGTTTTCAGTGATTTTGGTCTTTGTGTGATGGTTTTTTATGTTTTAAATATTTTTAGTGGTTTTGGAGTTTTGTTGGTTCTTAGACTTCAGAAGGTGGTTTTGTGTTTTTAGGGTTTTTATTAGTTTTTGAGATTTTGGTAAATTTGGCCTTGAGTAGTAGTTTTCTGGGGTTTTTATGGTTTTTAGGGTTTGGATGATTTTAGGGTTTTAAAAGGGCAGCTTTTGTATTTTTAAGGTTTTTAGTGGTTTTTAGGTTTCTGTGATGTTAGGCTTCGAATGGCGATTTTTTGGTTTAGATTATTTTTAGTGAATTTTTAGGATTTTGGTGGTTTTGGGGCTTAGAGTGTGTAGATTTTTGGTTTTTTTTTTTTGACAATTTTAGTGGTTTTTTAGGTTTCGAGAGGCGATGTTTTTGTTTTTAGTGGCTTTTAGGATTTTGACGGTTTTGGGGTAGCAAGTGGAGGCTTTTAAGTTTTTGGAGTTTTTGCAGTTTTAAGGTTTTAAAAGGTAATTTTTGGCTTTTTTTAGGGGGTTTAGTTGTTCTTTTGGGTTTTAACAAATGTAAGGTTTTCAAGGAGCAAGGTTTGGGGTTTTTATTTTTTATTTTTGGTTTTTATGTTTTTAGGGTTTTGAAGGACAATTTTTGAGTTTTTAGGGATTTTAGTTGGTTTTTGCATTGAGGAGATTTAGGGGTAATTTTTAATTTTGTGGTTTTTATTAGTTTTTGGGGTTTCAACAATTTTGGGGCTTCAAGGGTAGATTTTAGGGTTTTGGGATTTTTAGTGGTTTTTTTGGGTTTTGACAACTATTTAGTTTAGGAGGTGGTTTTGAGTTTTGGGGGTTTTATTGGTTTTGGGGTTTCAGGGGAGTTTTTTAGGGTTTTAAAGGGGTTTTAGTGGTTTTTTGTGTTTCGACAATTTTTGGGCTCTAGGTTCAATTTTTAGGGTTCTGGTCATTGTTAGAGATTTTTTAGTTTTTGGGTGATTTTTTTAAAGGGCTTTTAATTAATTTTTGTGGTGTTGGTGGGCTATTTTTAAGTTTCTTACTAGTTTTGTAGCTTTCAACGATTTTGAGATTTTTATTAGTTTTTGGGGTTTTAGCCATTTGGGTTTCAAGGGCTGATTTTTAGTTTTTGTTTTAAGGGGGTTTTTAGTGGTCTTTGGGGTTTTTGGTGGCAAATTTTGGGTTTTTAGTTGTTTTTAAGGTTTCGGGGGTATTTTTAGACTTTTAATGGTTTTTAGACTTTTATTGGTTTTTTGGTTTTTAACACTTTTCGAGTTTTGAGGGAATGTTTTTATGATTTTGGGGTTTCTAGTAGTTTTTGAGCTTTCGATGATTTTCAAGTTTGAGGTATGGCTTTTGGGTTTTTAATGGTTTTGGGGTTTTTTGTTTTGGTGATTTCAGGTTTTTGGGGTTTTAGTAGTTTTTGAGGTTTTAACAATTTTGTTGTTTTGAGGGTGATTTTTAGCTTTTTGGGGTTTTTAGTAAATTTTAGGGTTTCGATAGTTTTTGGTCTTTTATGGATGGTTTTAAGGTTTTTAGTGTTTTAATGATTTTGGGGTTTCGGATGTTTTGTTGTTTCAATTGGTGATTTGTGTTTTTAGGGTTATTAGTGGTCTTTGGAGTTTCACCAGTTTTGGTGTTTTAGGAAGCAATTTTTGGGTTTTTTGGATTTGGGTGATTTTTGAGTTTTTTGGTTGATTTTTAGGATTTCAGGGTTTTTAGTGGTTTTTGGGTTTTTAACGGAATTGAGTTTTAGGGAGTAATTTTTGGCTCTTTGGTCTTTTGAGTGAATTTTTGGGTTTTCACAGTTTTGAGGCTTCTACTAGTGGTTTTTAGGGTTTTAGTGGTTTTTAAGTTTAAGTGATTTTCGTGTTTTAAGGGTGGTTCTAGTGTTTTTGGGATTTTTAGTGGTTTTTAAGGTTTCAATTATTTTAGGGCTTTCGAAGGTGATTATTGGGTTTTTTGGGATTTTTGTGGTTTTCAATTTCAACAGTTTTGGTGTTTTGAAGGTTTGTTTTTTGGTTTTTGCATTTTAAGGTTTCTAGTGGTTTTTGGGATTTAGGCTATTTTGAAGTTTCGAAGGGTGATTTTTAGGTTTTCAAGGTTTTATTATTTTTAAGGTTTTAACGATATTGGAGCTTTAAAGGTGGTTTTTCATTTTTTGGGGTTTCGAGTGGTTTTTAAAGTTTGGGCGATTTTGGGGTTTGGCGAGACAATTTTTGGGTTTCGGGGATTTTAGTGATTTTTAGGTTTCAGCAATATTAGACTTTGAGGTGGGAAGGTTATTGAGTTTAGGTTGGTTTTAATAGTTTTTGCGGTTTAGAGTGTTTTGAGGTTTTGGGAGGTAGTTTTTCAATTTTTTTTTGCATTTTTAGTAGTTTTTGGGATTTCAATGATTTTTGGGTTTCAAGGTGGTTTTTGGGTTTTTGGAGAATTGACATCTAATTTTGTCTAAGCAAAATATGGTCACTTGTGAAGCTCTTAAAGCCTAATCAGGT